GTCTATTATCCACTACAATCTAAAGTATAGAACAAGGTCGCTGTTGGCCTTTTTTCACGGGTCTCTAAACATATTCCGTTTCTTGCAAAAAACTGGAGGTGCCCTCTCTGCTGCTGTGTATTTACGGCATTAGTAGTCCACTAACACAAGAGGGCGTGTTGGTGTGCGTCAGAGCTGTGCCTCCGGGTCCTGGCCTGGCACTGCTGTGATTTAGGGCTCATACCGTCAGCTGGTCTCTACTGAAAACCACACGCTTCCGTGTTTTAGTGATATTTTTCGTTAGGATAGGCATTTCTTTAGGTTAGATAACTCTCCTATAGGATTCAGCTTTAATTTTCACAGTAATTTCTCAAAATATGTCGTCCCTGAGCTCACAGCAAGGCAGTTTACGAGTTTCTGGAAAGATAACACGTTAAAGATACGAGGATTTAACATGACAGCAGCAAGGCATCCTGAAACTACATCAGGTTTTTATGTGATGTCTCCCAGTTTTGAGTGTGGAATGTTAATGAGTCGGATGCAAATCCATCTCCCATATGACCATGTTCCAGAGTGGAGGCTGTGTCCAGGGATTTTTCCTCCATGGCCTAAAATAAAAGTTAAAAAGAGGTGAGGGTGTGAGGGTGTGCGTTCTTTTTTGGACCATGTAATCAATATTCCACTCAGCACCAACAGCAGACACAAAAAAATATTAACAGCACAGAAGAAAGCTAAGCTGGAAACCAAATGATATGTTGCACTAAATGTGTGTGTGCGCGCGCGCGCGGTTAGTTCAGTATCTGCAGAGCCAATCAGCTGCTCATGCAGATGACGTACTGTTGCCCTACGTCAGCCCCGCTGTTTGTCAGGATCAGAGCTCCACACACACCGGCAACAAACACATACACACACTCCCTCTCCGAGCCGGACAGCACAGCCCCTGGCCCGGCAGCCCGGCAGCGGAGGACACATCCAGGCTTCCAGGCGCCGCAGCCCTCTGTGACAGTGGACCTCACATCGCCTTACTTTGTGGACATGGGAGATATGGGGGATCCGCCGAAAAGTAAGGCACTTGCTCGGTGTTGGGATGCAATTGTAGAACTACATTTATCACAAGTTGAGAGTTGACTTAATTGCGATATGATGCCTGCAGAAAGAACGATTGTACTTGGCCCAATAAAGTATCTAGTCATCCTAAAATACTCAATTTTACAGGTTTGTCAACGGATGTTACCTATAGCCTACACTTTTATTCGTGATAATAAATATTCTTATAATAACAATAATAATGTATGAACACTGTCCTGTTCCTGCTGGTCTTCCAGAGAAGCGTCTAGTGTCTCTGTGCGTGGGCTGCGGGAACCAAATCCACGACCAGTACATCCTGCGGGTCTCACCGGACCTGGAGTGGCACGCAGCCTGTCTCAAATGTGCCGAGTGCAGCCAGTACCTGGACGAGTCCTGCACATGCTTCGTCAGGGATGGAAAGACTTACTGTAAACGGGACTACATCAGGTAGGAGGGCCGGGCCGGGACAGCCCCCTGTATAGCCACGACAGAAGGTGTGCGGCGATTGGATTTATTTATTTTTTAAATGTATTTTATGATATCAGCTTGAGAATATTCGGACTTGTTCAAGTAACGCGGAGCTGTATTTTCAGCCAAGTAACAAGGTTTCATACATTCTGACCACTATCACTTTTACTAGTTGTAGACAGTGCGGACGCAGCTATTTCTTTTTCTTATCAGATGCACTTTAAAAACCTGTAACAACCTACATCAGGCCTACATAACCCATTTATTATTCAGTGATTCCGATTCCACTGCAGCCTCCTCTTCACTCTTTGTGACAAATGGGCCTGTGAAAATATTAAAAAAACTGTAATGATATGTAAATTACTCACCGATGAGCTGTTATTACACGATTGAACAATTATTAGATTACAACTTAAGCAGTCGTTCATCTATTGTTTAAAGACAAAAGTCCTATTAACAGTGTAGCATAAAGATTGTAGATAAGCAGTAGCGTGAAAACCAAAAGTTCACTATCACAAATTACCTCGAGGTAATAAACATAATGCACTATAATAATTATTATATTATATTATATTATATTATATTATATTATATTATTATAAATCACATAGTATATTATGTCTATGGCCATAATGCCCACCTTTCGATTTCCATTGTCAGGCTGCCCCCTGCCGTACAGAATGCTGCCTGTCAGACAGAAAACCTCCCGTGTTAAGACCAACGTTGTTTTTCTTCGACCCTTCCTCTTTCCTTGACGTTGTCCAATCAGGCTTTGCATTTGGCCACAAGCGCGTCCTAGAAATTTTGCGACAGCCAATCATTTTCCTGTTCAGGAAAAACGGGCGTGGTTACTCTCAGAAATTCTAAGGTGTTGTCATCGCGTTCTTTAGCCTCGTGTGTTTTATACTGGGCGTATGGGTAGATTTCAAATCTTTACAATGCGGCTGTAACAACAGTTGTATTATTTCTATAGACTGTAAGCGCTGTCTAACGCATTTCGCGAATAGAAAACAGTGAGTTGCCTTCGGAAAACAAACAATATTATATTTAAGAAGGAGGCTAGTTTATAAGCCACTAGCTAACGCCTAACGTTAGCTATGGAGGAAAGGAAAGAGGAGGGAGAAGCGGAGATCCAAGAGCACGGGCCCGAACACTGGTTCTCCAAATGGGAACGGCAGTGCTTAGCAGAGGCCGAACAGGATGGTCCAAACGAAGAGGAGACGGAACAAAGTCAACAAAAGATGTGGCACCTCTTTCAGAACTTAGCCACTGCGGTAGCACAACTCTACAAAGGTTTGTGCGTTACTAAAGATACCGAAGTTAGGTTAGCGGTCAGAGCTAATGTCATCCGAAGCTAATCCTGCCAGCTGACGATGTATCTGGGGGATAGAGACACAAAGGGCACCGGGTAGATTAACAGTGCTGGCTGTTCACGGCGTAACGAGAGGTTTTTATTTCCACTGTTGTATTGAGTGACATTAGAATGTGTATCCTTTCATACTGCCTGTGAAATTGACGATTCTGCTGTTCTCATCTCGATATGCTGACCGTTTCGTTGCTAGCCGATGGAGGCTAATGTTAACCATTAGCTAATGCTAGCATTGGTTAACCGCCGGTCACCGCATTGGAGTGTGGGGACAGCAGTGCTGAGTCTGACTCACATTGGCCTGACCTGTCAGAGTTCCCCTAGGGCTAAACGGATTCATGAGTAGTCGAACTAAGTGGCTCTCAAACACACACCAGTTCAGTTGGTGTGCCTTTTCCCAGTTTTCAGCACATTGTTTTTCAGTTTGAACACAACATGGCTTACACTAAAATGTTTTAGTCCACTCGTTAACAGTTTCAAGCTAGTCAAAATGGCGATATACGGGAAGGAGTTTGCCGAATGAAAAACTCGCTGTGACGGTCAAATGCAGCAATAATTGTCACAGTAGTGTGGAGAATGTTGATAAATTAGCGGCACAAAGACATTTATTCCAGTACATAATCCAATAGGCGGTTGCTGATGACTGCATTGTTTAATGTCCGGAACAAAATGGGGAAACTGTTAACGTAAACGTTTTCTTGAGAACTCGTTATGTCCTGCGAATATTTTAGGACATTACACTGAAACAGTTTTTTGGCAATGGTTTGAGTTTCTGTAAAGCTTCTGCTGTTGTTGAAGTCAGGAATAGACGCTGACCCCACTTAAAATTTGTCTTTGTTGATCAGATTTGACATACCTTATATCAGAGTTAGTTTAAGTACACTGATTATTCCCTGTCTAGAAATCCTCTTTGGGAGAGGTTCTGCCTCTAGGTTTCACTCACTGTCGTTCAGACTGTAAAATAGTTGTATTTTCATAAAATTCACTACCATTGAGTAATATCGAGAGGCAACCCCATGAACAGTACCTGCAGATTATATGTGAGGATTTGTCGATCAAGATGGAAAGGATTGGCAGTAGAGAACCACATAGTTCCTAAACTGTACTTAGTGTTTATGTGATAAATCCTAATCTTAGCTGCAGTTATCTATTCTTTGTGTATGATCTTTGAAAATACTCTCTTCCAAAAATACAGTTCTCAAGTAGTTTTCGTTTCGGGTATAGACAAATACAGTTGGATTATAATACCAATTTTCTAACTGTTGATGCTTGAATTTCTCTTGTGGAGAAATGTAAGCTTTGAAGGGACAGTTTGGGATTTATGCAGCAGAAATGTAATTTAAAGTGATCATAATCTGTACACTTCATTTGCAGATAGAGTATGTCAGCAGCAAGGCCTCTCTCTCTGGGTGCCCTTCCAGAATGCAGCCACGGCTGTCACTAACCTGTATAAAGGCAAGTATCAAGTAACTGAGTTATGAGCTATCTCGTGGTTCGCTGCCTGATTTTGTAGCATTTTGTATGGCATCTGAGAAGTGCTGCGAGTAAATGAGGTAGATTAACTTTGATGGTGGGGTCAGGTTTTAATAAATACTTTTCCCCTTGTGTGTCATCAGAGAGCATAGAGGCCCATCAGCGGAGCTATGACCTGGGCATCCACTTAGGTTACCAACGCAGGAATAAGGAGGTGATTGCATGGGTAAAGAAGCGTAGAAGAACTATTAGACGAGAGGACCTCATCAGCTTCCTGTGTGGCAAAGTTCCACCTCCACGAACAGCTCGTGCCCCGCCCAGAGTTGCCATGGTGTCTGCAAGCCGACCATCGCCACCAGAGACAGGCAGCTCTGTGGAGACCGACCTGCAGCCCTTCAGAGAGGCAATCGCACTGCACGGTTTGTCAAAATGTCACATTATAAGAATATGACTATAATTTCTATACCTTGCTGAGGCTTCATATTTGTTTTTTTGTTTTATTTTCTTTCCAGGCCTTAGTGGTGCCATGGCAAGCATTTCTGTGCGTTCTGGTCCTCCTGGTTCTCCAACTCACCCTGCCCAGTCCCTCAGTCGTCGTAGGAATGGTCTCCATGACGTGGATCTCAACACCTTCATTGCTGAGGAGATGGCACTCCATCTGGATTCCACAGCCGATCGTAAACGTGGCCCTGCCCCCTGTAGTGATGTAATTACAGACTCGCCCACTCATAAACGTAATAGGATGCTCTGAACTTTTCCTACACTGCTAATCCCTCCTCTGTCCTCTCCTTGGTGGCTGACTGGACAGTTGATGAGGACTGATGCCTTGGCCACCTATTGAAATCTTCCTCCTTTGCATCTTGGTTGCAATGCTACAAATAAAAAAAAGTTATAATTATCAATCCCCTTATTTAGTTTTCTTCCTCCGGTTGTCACAGGCACTGTCTCTGTGTGAGTTCTGTTCCTTTTCAGACTGTTTTCTCTTTATGCTGGGTTGCTCTCAGTAGATCTGATAATGAAGTGAGCACATGTCACACTTGAAATCCTTAACTTGCAGAATGTTGCATTTAGACATTTGTTTGTTGGCCGGGCTCCTTTGTGCTCTTCATCTGATAATCAGCTGAACCAGGCTGATGCCTGCTGTTTGCCATTCATTCCTCAAGCGCACTTCCTCTTCTTCTGTGCAGTGCTGGCCAAATCGGACCGGATTGAAACTCGAGCTCCTCAGTAGGCTGAACCACCTTCCTGCTGTGTAGCTCTATTCAAAACATTTGTTGGCGTGTGTATCTCATTCTGCTGCTGTGTGCGTTTGCATTATGTGACAGCAGAACTGCCACTTACTATGTTGTACTTGTCTTTGCCTTTGAGAAAGCTGCTACAGTATCTCTGGTTGCTTGCAACACTGAGTGTGTGTACGAGTGTCTGTGTGTGAGCTTGTGGATGCAGGGTTCTGGCAAATCCAACACCCACTTGACCGAATAATTTCCTGTTCTTTCTTTAGTTGCTTTTGGCAGCCCAAACCCAGGTTTTATCACAGAGCAGGTCAGTCCAATATATGAAGATAATTGTGACTATCATTGCTGTCAGAATTAGCTGACAGCTTGAGTAGTAGGATGATGATAGTAAAGCAAGATGTATTTTCAACAAATCTCGTAGGTATTGCCAAGTTTACAGAAATGCAAATGTGCACAGTTTCCCTAGGAGTTAAGGTGATAATCCTGTGCGCAGCCCGAGACGATGACGTTTGCTCATCCACTCAGTTGGGTGGAGAAGGGAAACAGGATTCTCAAATATCACAAAAATATGACTACAACGCACAACAGAGATGTCTAGATATGAAATCTTTATTCATTTACACAATTGTGAGCAACACGTTATGCAGTGCAATGCAAAACACAATACTCGAAATTGTGTGTAAATTTGTAAAGAAGATTCCATGCACAGTGTCACTGTCAAAACAGTTGACTGAATACTGGTTTGTTTATTTTTGCATAAAGAGCAGTAACAATATTTCAAAGCTTGCATTTTACCTACACTTGATTTCAGCTTTAAACTAGAAAATTACAAGGAGCAGTTCCCTGTAGGGGCCGATGGCTGTATTTAATTTGGGTAAACCAATTCATGGATGGTTGGATGTGATGTTTCAACAAGGCTGGGGGCTTGTTTTTGCTAGTTTCACACGCTGCTTTGTGATACAATCTCGTATGTGTGTGTGTAAATAACATGTAGGTGCTCTTATGTGTGGTACATATTGTAAAAAGAAGTGCAAATCCATTGGGATGTCTATGTACAATAACTGACATTAAAGGAGACGACCATTTAACTAAGCTGTCTTTGCGTTTTCTATAAGTTAGGTTTGATGCTCTACAGACTCATCTGCTTAGCAGTCTTATTTCAGTGCAGTGCTGTCATTATTGTTAGAAGTGATACATCTATGAATTACCTTGGGCCTGTGTCAAGAAAGGAAGCGGTATAGAGCTCCCTAAAGTAGAGAAATCTTAGCTTTTATCTAGTGCAGTGCCTGCTATGTTAACAAATGCTTTGTCTGATCACGGTTCCTTAATCAAGCTTTTTTTTTTTTTATCCTTAATGGAAACTGGCATCAGTCCCCAGGAGCCAAAGAATAAAAGATCAACTGAAAGGAGAATGTACTGGTTCTACATCTCAGGTTGTCATCCTGTTTAGCAGTGGAGAAAATAATCTGCAAACTTAAAATAAGTTTGAGAACACTGCAGTTTAAATTCTCCAACAGATGGGGGCGACAGATGCCACTGGCTCATTTGTGCTGCTATAACACACTGACAGGAACCTGAAATGCCCCATTAAGAGAGAGATAATAAAATATTGATACATGCAAATGACTTGAATCAGTTCTGTTTTATTACTATTAGCTTTAAAGAGGGTATGTACTATATAACACCAAGCAGTTTTTCATCCACCCAATCAGAGATGTGATGGTTAGTTGGTAGAGCTCATTTTGTTCCCAACAAGACGAGTTGCTCAGCAAACATTATTGTGAATTGTCAAAGAAGTGAATTTTGTCATATACCTAAATATATTTATCAGCAAAGGGTTAAATGAATTTACTTAACTAGTATTTACACATTTAAAGGTTTAAGGACAAATCATAATGAAATAAAATCAGAAAGTGAAATAGTATCACTTATTTGTTGTAACTGGTTTTAAGAAACAGAATGCATAATAGCAGATTATCCAAACTGTAGCATTTCAGAAATAGTCACGCAACTATTAAGTCATTCAACTTGGTACTTAGTTGACCTGTGCAGTGGCGTCTCTTTAACATAGTACAAATCCATGTGATTAAGACAGACCTGGAGTGATACATACGCCTCTCATAGTTTTAAAAACATACAGCCTCTAGAAAGGAGGTCTTGTTTGCAGTCCTCACAAAGCACTTGACAGATTTCAATGACATTTGTAGGAAATCAAGATCATAATCCCAGAAAGAACTTATTTTTGCATGAAGTTGGTGCCATAATCATCCAAGTACAAGGCCTCAAAGCAAAAGTCTTTTTTCCACACCTATTTGTCCAGATAGGCCACAATCATTTCCACCTACGCAGATATCAACCGCTCATACATATTTCACCCACTCTTCACCAAATTTGGTGCACGTAGCCTACTGGGTCACACTATAAAAAGTTGATATCCCACAGCTCTTTGCCGTTACTGGGTTGCAAACCAGTTTGTCCAGTTCATATACAGTCTATGGGTTTAGACAACGCATGCACAACTCTGAGCAATCCAGCAAAATGTAACGGTAGCTTCTCTTTATGATGTGCAGTCCACATAACTTAGTGGTCCCTAGTCTGACTCACTTGAGATATTGATAAATTCATACCCCATTTTAAAAATCCTCCAAAAACTGATAATATATATGTGGATCCTGAGCTTCGTAGAGGTATAAGCAATCTGAATGCTCTCTAGTTTTATGGTCCTTATGGGAAATTCTTGGATAGACCACATGAAAATTATTGGGGTGGGGGTGGGGCTGATCCTTGTTTCACTTTCACAGAGTAAGGTACTGTAACTGTGTACTGCACTTGTTTAAGAGGTAATGCACACAGAAGTGAAAATGTTATGCCTGGCTTTAAACCTAAGCATCTTAATGGAACAATGATATTTTCACTGATCTGTACATTAGAAGTGAAAGTGAAAATTAAGCACACAAACTGTCACAGAAATGAAATATAGTGTAAGATTTTCTCCTGCTCTCTCTAAAAACAGACTACCCTGCCTTCATCCAAAAGAAAAAGTACAACATTCCTGATCCTCATTAATGTTCGTAAGGTCCCTAAACCAAGCCCCAAATAGTGACTTCACTCTTTAAAGCAGCAGTCTGCAGGTATTTGGTTCCATGTCTCTCTTTGATCTGACAGCAGGATTGACCTCAGTGCCAGCACACAGTCAAGAGCTCTTGAAAACTAAGCACTGCTGTCCATCTTCATTAAATCACTGCCAAAGAACTACCAGAACTGAAGACAGGAATGAAAGAGGTGCCACAGTCTTTGATGTGCTAGAAGAAACCTACCAGGTCAACAGTACTCACTTGACCCTACAGTTTCTGGGTAAGTAAACGCCACAGTTTGATCCCCTGACTTTGCCAGTCCATCACCGCAGAGGAAGACAAACAACTGCGCTAGTCTTACACCACATCCAGCGAGAATATCTGTTCTTTCTTTCCTCTGCTAACACTGCATGGTTGTTTTTCTTTCATCGTGTGTCTGAAGGCTTTAAAGGCTGCTATTTGATGGAACCATGGAAGAGGAGCAGAGCTGACCGCAAGCTGTTTCACACTTCAAAAGAAGCACTGTGTGTGTGAGGGAGGGAGAGAGAGAGAGAGAAAGAGACATGATGAGAAGCAACAAGTGTCTGAATGTTCCAGAAAACCCCTCGAAGATGGCCATCTGGGCTGCACTGATATCAGCTTACACACACTCATAAACACACACACACATAGGTGTCTCCTAGGATGCCGTCTGGTCTGAAGAGAGAGTTGGTGGTGTGTCTTGTGAACCGTTTCAGACATACAAACACACATACATACAAACATGCGTTCTGTCATGGGTCTGTGTGGGTTTGACCATGGGGAGTGTTCAATGGCAGACAGCTGGCGATCAGTGATGCACTAGTTATCCCTGGTGTGCATGTGCGGGTGTGCGCTGACACACACAGGATAAAAACACAGGCTAATGGTAATTGCTGCACCAGCTTGCACTAATTGATAGAGGACACTCACATACACTCTTACACATTAACACATTAGCACATGCACATAAACAGAAGCCAATCAGGCAGACTGAAAATGTGTCCCTAGAGGGATGGAGCAGCCAGAGAACAAAGGTGGTGGAGGAGACGGGGAAGGAGGAGAGAAGGAGGAAGAGAGGTTAAACACTCCCCAGAGACGATTGCTAGTCAGGGCTCTTAGTTTTGTGCACATAGGCTACGGTAGGTGAGCCATGTGTGGCGTGAATGAAAACACAAGGGCTGAAAAATTGTCTCCTATTTTTGGGTCTGCTATGTTTTTGTGAATGTTCCTCCTCT